TGTAAACAATTAATAAGCTTGGCTGCTAATGGAAAGGTTGCAGGTTCAAGCCCATCAAGAGGCACCTCAGAAGAAAAATCTGAAGTCAGCCATTGAAAACCCCATGCAGCACAGTTCTACCCTGACATACATGAGGTAACCATGACTCCGATCCACTGCACTACTTGGCATACTATCCCACGAAGTCGTAGTGGGAATTCCTAGAGGGTTTACTTAAGATGAAGTTTAAAAGGTAGTTTATATCCAGCCACTTCCCAAGCCCAATCATCAATTTCCCAATTTGGTACACTCGATAGGACGCAGCAGAGTCCACGCCTTACCGGAAACACTTCCTGCCCCCTAAAAAGGAGCATATCCGGGACTCGTCAAGAGGCGCGGCCCAGGGAGGTGGAATCCATGCACGAACTACAAGCCGCGGCCACAGACCCCTCCCACCGACGTTTTCCGCCGCGCCACACTCCCTTCCGTCCGCCAGGGGTCGCAGACTCCGAGAGCCCCTTTCTCATTTGGCAAGAGCCCACCCCATCGGGCTGTTAGCGCTCGCGAGAGAAAGCGCATGGCCTGCCGGGAAGGATGCGAGGTCTCCCGTAGGTTTGCCCAAGATGGCAGCCCTGGAGGAAGAATTCACGTTGTCTGGGGTACCTTTGGGCGCCGGAGCTGACGGACTCCTAGGGGTGGAACAGAGCGACAAAGCAGACCAGTTTCTGGTGACAGATAGTGGCAGAACGGTCATCCTCTATAAGGTGAGGGCGACAGACAAGGGGCGTCCCTGCTGCCATCGGAGGCTCAGGTCCTCACAAACTTTGGCAGGAGATTGTGGAGTAGGCTTAGCACAAAGCCTGCCTGGCCTCTCCGGGACGCCAGATGAGGTCTAGACTCTGACCTGGTAGTTTTTCCTGTAAGAGAAGCGTGTTTCCGAGTTGCGGGCAGCGCGTCTGGGGACACGTGGGCTAGACTCGGGAAGGAAAGGGAACCACTGTTTTGCTTGGCTCTCCCGAATCCCGGATCTCCTTGCTAAGATTCCCTTCGGGGGATTCTGTCACCTCAGCTACCCACCGGAGGGTCGAACGAAGAAGATTGGTTGGGTGGACACAGTGGATTAATCTTGTGGCTGGCTGTACACTTCTAATTCACTGCTTCCGCCCTGTCAGTGTCATTCTCTCCCGCCCAACCGTACTTGATAGAGTAGAGGGGCAGCAAAAAGGAGGACGACCCTCAGCGAGATGGATTAACTAACACAGTAGCTGCAACATTGGGCACAGACCTAAAAACGACTGTGAGGATGGCGCAGGACCAGGCACTGTGTCGTTCTGTTGTACACATGGGGTCGCTGTGAGTCGGAACCAACTCCAGCGCACCTAACAACAACAGCTGTAC